TGGTACAGACAGGGTTTCACCATGTTGCCCAAGCTGGTCTTGACCTTCTTAGCTCAAGTGATCCATCCACCTCAGCCTCTCAAAGGGCTGGGATTACCAAAGGTGTGAGCCACCACGACTGGCCCCAAAATATTCTTTGAACATGTAATCATATGCAATTATTATGAGATATTTAATATTATTTTTTGTACTAAGTCTTCGAAACTTGATGTGTATTTCACAACAACACACCTCAATTCAGACCAGCCAAATTTCAAGTATTCAATAGCCACTTATGACTAGTAGCTACAATATCAGACAGTACAACATCAGACCATGTTTAGTCTCTACTTTTTTAGCAACCCCAAACCAGCTATATACAGAATAAACATAGAAAACATTTGAAAGGATACACAAGAAATGACTAAAAATGTTTTTTATACGAAATGGGAGTGCAGGGAGGGAAGGTGATCAAGGTTTAATTTATGTACATCTCTGTTTGAATTTATTACATAAGGATATATCATATTTTACTAAAAATGTAAAAGAGAAAATGCTTATTCTTTTCAACACAGTCAATGTATAGAAATTTATCTTAAGGAAATAAGAAAATATGTAAACCAACATTTATGACAAGGATGCCCTTGGCATCCTTCTGTTCTGTGTGGCCCAAGACGTGAATAATTTTATCTAGTGTATCCATGCTGTAGACGTTACCTGCCATTCCTGTATGAGAGGAAATATAGTGGATCTAGGGTTCAGTACTACCCATGGTTTCAGACACCCATAATTTCAGGCATCCACTGGAGGTCTTGGAGTGTACCCCCTGTAGATAAGGGGGGACTACTGTACTCAACACCACTGGGGGCTTGAATCCCTGAAAAGTGGATGGAGAAGAACAAACTGATGTGAAAAATCTTTGTCTTCCAATAAATAAACAGATAGGATCTGAGCCCTGGGAGATGACTAAGGCTTCTCTTAGCTTTCAGTGGGTGGTATTTTCCATCCGCTCACAGGAATGTTGAGATTTTGGCTGTGGACCTTGTGTTTTGCTTAGTCAAGTTGTTTTGTATGATTGCACCTGACATTTTATTCTTCCAATAACCATAGGAGGTAAATGAATAATTCATACACAGTGCAAGGATAAAACTGCACAGGATTCAGCTGCCTTGGAAACCCTGCGCTGTTCAGATATTTGTTGAATGGAACTTGAGTGCCCAATTTGTTCTGATTGGAGCAAAAGTTTGTGGACTGACAAGGAAAGGAGTCCAAGATGGAGGAAGCAAAAAAAAAAAAAAAAAAAAAAGTTACTAGACGAGGTGTAGAGCACGATCCTATCTGTGTTTTAAAATCTGCAAAATTATGTATCTATAGCTATGTATGTATCTCTGAATGGAGAGAAAGAGACCGATCATTACCACTGCCTACCCCTGGGAGTGAGAATGAAGTGTATAGGGAGCAGGTGCAGGGAAGAATGCTCACTTCTTACTTTATATATTTCTGTACTGTTAAAATTTTAACAGGTCATCTTGTAACAACAACAAAAAAATTTAATAAAAGCTATCAATTGTAATCAGAACTACCCTTTGACAGTAAATGTTCTCAAACCATCTCACCAAATGCCCAGAAAGAGTTAACACAGGAGAATTCCAGATTTTTGAAGTGAGGATGAATTCCTGCTTTGAGGGTGGGAGATGGGCTGAGGGATGAGAGGCAATGAGGAGGGGAGAGGAGGGAAGAAGCTGAGGGGAGGGCTGGCTGCTGAGCTCTCATTCCCAACCAATGGCATGAACATTTCAGGCCCAACGCCCATTTGTGGAGACTATTTCAGGAGTCTGGATTTGCATCTGAGTTCATTGCCACTGAGCCCTGCCGAAGAAGAGCTCAGGGAGCTTTAGGAGTTGGCTTCTTGGAGGCTGCTTCTCCTTTACTTGGAAGGTAAACATTTCAAGCCCAAAGTGATCAGGTGGTGGTGATTGATTGGGCTGTTTACTTTTTTCTTTTTGGTGTATGGATTTCCTGTTCCAACCAGGGCCGTAAGATGCTTATGGGATAGGGTTTTACTTTTACTAACAATGATATTTACATGGAACTTCTAATAAGGTGGAGTAGTAGTTCTTCCTGGTCCACTACAGATGACAAAGCGCAGATTGTCAAAGCGTTAAGTAGATTTTGTTGGTTAGGCTCGCATGGAATGAGGGAGCACCTATGCTTTGATGATTCACAATTTTCATATTATTCCTTCTTGGTTTCACACAAAGCATGGTTAAGCTTTGACAGGAATTACAGATGCATGTAGCAAATCCTACTTAAGTATTCAACTGAATGCTTTCTACTAACACTGTAGAATGAGTTCTTGCTTTATTTTCCATCTTAGTAAAAAGTCTTAAAAACTCTCTTAAGTTTTTAAGTTTAAAAAAAAAAATCCCCTCTTTCAAAAAAAAAAAACTATAAAAAAAAAAAAAAAAAAAAAAAAAAAAAAAAACAGAGAGAGTTTGGAAAGACACTTTCAGTGAAGTGACCCTGATGGTTAAGTGCAAATGTAGTTCCTCTCTCTCCCAGTGCTATGTTTCCAACATCACAGGGACCTTCTTCTTCCCCCTCCCAGGCTTCACTAGTGATGGACCCATACATGATTCAGATGAACAGCAAAGGTAACCTCCCCTCAATTCTGGACGTACATGTCAACGTTGGTGGGAGAAGCTCTGTGTCGGAAAAAATGAAAGGCAGGAAGGCCAGGTGGTCCGTGAGGCCCTCAGACATGGCCAACAAAACTTTCAACCCCATCCGAGCCATTGTGGACAACATGAAGGTGAAACCAAATCCAAACAAAACCGTGATTTCTCTGTCCATTGGTGAGTTGGGGACACTACTGAGGGAATGTCATAGTCCCCTCTACTCTCATATTCACAGGCTGGTTGGAGAAGACGGGAGGTGGGGGGTGAGTCTGAGGACTGAATATGGGAGAGTAATCTCTTGGTTCCTTTTTTTTTCATTCCATAAAAAGGGGACCCTACTGTGTTTGGAAACCTGCCTACAGACCCTGAAGTTACCCAGGCAATGAAAGATGCCCTGGACTCGGGCAAATATAATGGCTATGCCCCATCCATTGGTAAGCTGCTCCTGAGACTCTGTACCTGGTGGCTGCCCAATGTTTAGTGCTGTTATAACAGGACCAAATGCCTAGCAATTCTCTTCACTTTCCTGATGCATAATTTCTAAGAAGAAGCTAAGATTACATGGCCCTTTGGATTTGGGAAAGGGGTCTCGGGATGCTTAAATACAAGGCATCAAGGTCCATCTTCTTTCCTGGCTTCCTTTGGCATATGGGCACTTTCCCTCTAGGCTACCAAACATACTTATTTGTCAAATAAAGGTCAACACCTACTGTTACTAATTCTAATATGAAGGTCTTGAGTCTGGCAGGAGCTTTGTGTTTATTAAGCCTTCTAGGGGCTAAATGGTTTTACTTATTACCCTGTGTACATAGCTCCTTTGCTTCATTTCTTCTCTATGTATTGAAGGCCTATTTTCATTATGGTCCTGAGCACATTGAAATGCAATTGTTACTATTTAAGACTCAAGAGGTTAAACAAACACCCAAGAACAAGAAAAAATGGGCTGTCAAATTGAAGGATAGAAGGTTGTTTCTGATAGATAGAAATTACTTCTTTTTAGGTTTAATTCTCTCTATTAAAAATTTCTACCCTGAATATTTTGGTAAAGTACATGATTCTTTGACTTTCAGTGTTGCACATTTTTTTTCCCTTATGTGTACATAGAAACAATTCTAAATGCAGAATAAATCCCAGTTTCATGATAAAATCAAATTTAAAAAATGCTTTAAAGAGTTATATCGGGGACTTTGTGGTTTTTAAGGTTGATGACTTACATTTTATAAAGTTTCATACAACAAAAATCAAAACAAAATCAAGACCAAAATTTAAGTTATAAAAAAAGTTTATAATGACTTTAATATCCAAAGTATTGGGAAACTGATTTAACCTGAAAAACCAAAATCAAGTCTCCATTTGACAAATGTTCAAAGATTCTGAACATTTCATTCCAAAGGAGATACAGGTGGTAATATGCATTTAGAAAAGTGTTCCTCCTCATTAATAATTAAGGAAGTGCTGATTTATATAATTCTGAGAGACCCATCTATACGTATTAAGTTAGTAAACATTATGAAATAGTGCCTCTAGCCTTGCTAGCTTGTCTTCTTGAACATGTATTTTGTAAAATATTGTAACGGGCATGAAACTGCTGATATTTCAGGCTTATAAGCTAACATTTGGAAATATTGGACAAAAATAATATGAAATAAAAATTTGTACAAAAATACTGATAGCAATATCACATAACATAAAAAAACTTAAAATGGACCACATGAATTGAATGTATTGATTACAACTTCTTAAAAAATACAGTCCTTAAAGTAGATTTAGGAATAATAGAAATCCTTATTTTACACAGAATAAAACATAATTGCAGAAATCAAGATGGTGCAGAGTATTTGGGGAGCTCTTCCTTGTTAGTGTGTATACATTTGTGCTTATACTAAAATTGTACATAAAATTGTGAAGTGAATCTTCTTTATCCATAGTGGCTGAGAGCTGAACTATATAGAATGCCCTCTGAGCAGGGGCAGAGGCAGCCTGAAGCCCATGCTGGCCCTCCAGGGCACAGCTGTCAGTTGAGGAATGAAAACTCCACCTTCGGGCCAGGCACAGTGGCTCACCCCTGTAATCTCAGCACTTTCAGGAGACTGAGGTGGAAGGATCCCCTGAGCCCAGGAGTTTGAAATCCACCTGGGCAACAGACGGAGATTCCATCTCTACAAAAAAAAAAAATAAGTAAAAATAAAAATAAAAAACTATCTTGGTATAAGGGTGCATAACTATAGTCTCAGCTACTCAGGAGGGTGAGGTGGGAGGATCCCTTGAGCCCAGGAGTTTGAGGCTGCAATGTGCTATCACTGTGCCACTGCATTTCAAGCTTGCGTGGCAGAATGAGACACCGTCTCTAAAAATCAAAAAAACCTCCACTTTCCACTCTTTTCTTTCAGGCTACCTATCCAGTCGGGAGGAGATTGCGTCTTATTATCACTGTTCTGAGGCACCCATAGAAGCTAAGGTGAGCCTTATACAAGGTACCAGCTCTGAAGCAATTTAGGGCAGACTATCCCCTTTTCCCTATTTCTGTTTCACAAGAAGTACAGGTGTCAGAGGGGAAAAAGCTGAAAATAATTTTTCTTTAGCAATTTGAAGACCTCTGATATAGTTGGGGTCACGAATCAGTGATTATAGTTGAAGGTCATTACAGTATGATAATGACCATCTCATACAACTTAATGTGTCTGTCTCAAGGAGGCCAAAAGGATCTAGAGAGTATGTATATTTGGTTGTCTGCAAAAGATCATATGAGAACAACTCATAAACACCAAAAAATAATTTTTAAAAATTTTATCAATAGGTTTTAAAAAAATTATTATTTGTAGCTTTTCTCATTTACTGTAAGGTAATTTAGAGAGAAAGACAAAAGCACCAGGACATACTGAATTGATGGCAGTGCCAAGTTTAAATGATGTCCTTCCCTCTGTTGTCTGCTGTGTGGGGTCAGCATTTTCTAACATAATATGTGTCCGTTAGAAAATGCTGTGTGTATGTCAGAGAAGAGCCAGGCTTCAAATCTCTGGCCAAAAGTAAATAAATAACCAGGTTAAGAAAGTCCAAGGCCAGCATGCTCTCTCATGGAAGTCTGCCGAGTCACAACCAACTTGTTGTTTTTAAAGTGACCTGTTTAAGTGGCCAACATTTCCATAATAGTTATTAACATATATGAATTTCTTTTGGTTTTGGCTTAGTACATTTCCTTCTACTTACAGCTTGTTAAAGGAAGTTCACAATTGTTCCCAACTCACACATCTGACAACTTCTTTTCTCCTGTTGATGTTAGAACCCCTAATGAAATTAACCTTTTATTTCCTTCACAGGATGTCATTCTGACAAGTGGCTGTAGTCAAGCTATTGAACTTTGTTTAGCTGTGTTGGCAAACCCAGGGCAAAACATCCTGGTTCCGAGACCTGGTTTCTCTCTCTACAGGACTCTGGCTGAATCTATGGGAATTGAGATCAAATTCTACAATTTGTTGGTAAATGACTTTTTAATTTTGGACTCAAATGCTCAGTTACCAACCTGTAAAAAATATATGACTATTACTTCAGCAGAGGAAGGTCTCAAAATGGTGGTTGAACCCAGAGACACACTTTATTGCTTATATTGCTCCCTTGAGATAAGTGAGGATTTCCCCTAAATGTTTCAGAATCATCTTAGTTTCATCTTTTCTTTCTCTCTAGCCAGAGAAGTCTTGGGAAATTGACCTGAAACAACTGGAATCTCTGATTGATGAAAAGACAGCTTGTCTCATTGTCAATAATCCATCAAACCCCTGTGGGTCAGTGTTCAGCAAACGTCATCTTCAGAAGATTCTGGCAGGTACATCCAGTAGACTTTACAGAGGATGAGATGGGGACAGGATCCTTCAGCTGTTGTGTGGAATGACAAAAAATAGTCATTCCCTAAGTTCCAAGCCTGGGGTGGAGGTGGGGAACTCCACTGATGTCTCTCATCAATACTGTGCCATAGGAGTGGTAGGACTTGCCTAGAAGAAGAGTAGAAATATTTGCCTCTTAATCACTCCCAGGAGAAAGAGAAATAATACTTGCCTCTTCATCACTCCCATCATGTTGAAGAGAGGGTCTGAAATGTCTAGTTACTTAAATGGCGAATTCAGGCTCTGCACTCTGGAAGAATATATTAAGAATTTACAGTTCTTGGCTGGGCATGGTGGTTCATGCCTATAATCTCAGCACTTTAGGAGGCCGCGGCATGCAGATCACCTGAGGTCGGGAGTTCAGGACCAGCCTGACCAACAGAGAGAAACCCCGTCTCTACTAGAAATACAAAAAATTAGCAGGGTGTGGTGGCACATGCCTGTAATCCCAGCTACTCAAGAGGCTGAGGAAATAGAATCGCTTGAACTTGGGAAGCGGAGGTTGCGGTGAGCTGAGAGTGTGCCATTGCACTCCAGCCTGGGCAACAAGAGCAAAACTCCATCTAAAAAAAAAAAAAAATTACAGTTCTTAAATAGGACAAAACACACAAACATGAAATGCAAGGCACACTTTGTTTGCGCTTTCTGTCTTCTTCTTTAAGAACTGTAAATTCTTAATATTATGGGAGAGGGAAATTACATGATATGATGTGACTATTATGTGATAAAGCAATTCATGGTAAAACTGATTTTGGATGTTTCTTTTATTTTCAGTGGCTGCAAGGCAGTGTGTCCCCATCTTAGCTGATGAGATCTATGGAGACATGGTGAGTCTTGATCAGGATATATCAGTACAATAAGCTCAACCTCAAATTATTTTATGGGAACTTGAGAAGTGGAATAATCGGAAGCAACTCCTAATCATTTCAGTACAGCAAATCAGTATCCCTGCACTTTTAACAAACATACCGACCCACAACTCCTTAGCCAGTTTTCCAAAACCCAAAGGAACTTAGGAAATCCAAAGATTCTTGGAATTCATTTGGTTGCAAAACCTGATTTGACTTGATATTTGTAGATTTTTATTTATCCCACTAATGGATCTATATATTTGTTAGGAGTATGGGGGAAGTGGCAGAAATCCTAATATTCTTGATTAGGAATGCTATCCTAGACAGCTCTGGGAATGTTACATAACGTATGGTAAATGTGCTACATGGCCTTTCTAAAGCCCAAACCATTCTTCATTATGAAACATACCTGGTCCCAGGAATTTCAGATAAGGGATTGTGGACTCATCTTTACTTTTAAATCTGTAAGTCCTATAGACACAAATTTCATAGAGCCAGCTTCATGGAGTTGTACATATCATTACGGGGCTAGGGTCAGTTTCCTAGTTTCCTCATTTTAGGCTTCCTTATTCCAGTCCAGACAACAAATTAAATGTGTTTGTGTAGTCCCCTTTGAAGCCTCTTGCAATCCCAATCATGCTTCAGGGTAGAGATGATCCCATTAATCCCAGGCCCTGTCCCTAGTGATAGAAGGAAAAGGGTGTGAGGCATGGGATCTGGGATTGCGGTGAGAGGTAGAGAAGGCAACCAAAACAAGTGCTTCTTCTTAGGTGTTTTCGGATTGCAAATATGAACCAATGGCCACTCTCAGCACCAATGTCCCCATCCTGTCCTGTGGGGGGCTGGCCAAGCGCTGGCTGGTTCCTGGCTGGAGGTTGGGCTGGATCCTCATTCATGACCGAAGAGACATTTTTGGCAATGAGGTGAGAACAATATGAAAGAGTATGTCTAATTCAGGGTATATATTTACTTTGTGAGCACAGTGGGGACAAGGTAGGTTTTTTTTTCTCCTCTTTCTCCTGGTCAGTCACACAGCAGGTATGTGGGAGAGCTGGGCTACGAACCCAGAGGATCTGATCTAAGAATGCCACTAGGCACCATCACTTCCCAAGAATAAAAATCTGATAGAAAGGTCAGAACAAGAAACCTGAAGACAGGGTTGCTTAAGAAAAGCTAAACAACGTGTTTCTTGTGGGGGTCTTTTAGATTCGAGATGGGCTGGTAAAGCTGAGTCAGTGCATCTTGGGACCCTGTACCATTGTCCAGGGAGCTCTAAAAAGCATCCTACGGTGTACCCCGCAAGAGTTTTACCAGAACACTCTGAGCTTCCTCAAGGTAAGGCCAGTTCCTGCTCTCCACTTTGGGAGTTTGGGAGTCAGAGAATGCCGCCCGTGGAATTAGGAATAGTTGGTTCTTCTTTCTGGAGCCATGTTCTAATATTAGGATATGGCATCAGTGTAAGCATCTATTCTGTGCACACATTTCTCACTTCCGGCCATTCTCTCTGCCCCTGGCCGAAAGCTTCAAATGAGAGAGCTTTTTCTCTTAGACTCCTCATGCCATCACACCTACATTCCCAGTCTTCAATGAGGGGTCTATTGTTAATGACTTGGTTTTTCTTTTACTTAAATTTCAATCCTTGATTTCTTCTTGCCTCCTCTTGTAGTCCAATGCTGATCTCTGTTATGGGGCACTGGCTGCCATCCCTGGACTCCGACCAGTCCGCCCCTCTGGGGCCATGTACCTCATGGTGAGTACGTAGGTGGCAGGCACTAGGTCTATGCATGCTGTAAGGCAATGGGCAGTCACTCAGCAGAACTGCCACAGGCAGTTACGCAGGGCACAAAAATGACCAGCTAGGCGCCTGAGCCAGGCAGTTCAGGAGTTGTCTTATTCTGAATTGTCCCACTGAGGTAATTTAGCCTCTATCAGTTCTCATAAAACTCTTTAAAATACTTAATTACGCAGAGCATGATGGCTCATGACTGCAGTCCCAGAACTTTGGGAGGCCAAGGTGGATGGATCACTACAGCAAAGGAGTTAGAGTCCAGCCTGAGCAACATATTGTCTCCACAAGAAATAAAAAAGTTAACCAGCGTGGTGGCTTGCTCCTATAGTCCCAGCTACTTGGGAGGTGGAGACGGATGAATCACTTGAGTCTGGGAGGCCAAGGGCTGTAGTGAGCCATGATTGCGCCACTGCATTCCAGCCTGGGAGACAAAGTGAGACACCATCTGAAAAGAAAAAAAGAAATTTAATTCTTCAGTACAGATAATCATTTTATCTATGTAGGTACAGGGAAGATTTAAGACACAAATAAGAGGCTTTTCATACCACTGTAATTCTCAACTGGGAGTGATACTGGTTCCCTAGGAATATCTGGGAATGTATGGGAATTTTGTTTGTTTTCAGAATGACTGGGGCTGTCATTCTGTGGGTAAGGGATGTCAAATATCCTGCAGTGGGTGGGCTAGTCTCATGCCATAAAGGATTGCCTGGCCCTAATGCCAATACTCTCTCTTTTGAGACATACTAGCATTCTGTTTCCAGCTTTTATTTATCAGTGTCCGGGAGGGAACTCTTTTAATAAACTATTAATAAAAATATATCCTCTCTTCCCTGAGAAAAATTCGTTAAGTGTAAGCACTCTTATTTATCGGTTATCAGTAGCACAGTTCCAAGATATCTTTAAAAGTAGCCCCTACCTTAATTTCTGGCATAGCAAGTTGGCTGGTTCTCCCTCCTTCTGATAAGTTGGCCTCTCCCTCCTGTTGGTATAGGTTGGAATTGAGATGGAACATTTCCCGGAATTTGAGAACGACGTGGAGTTCACGGAGCGGTTAGTTGCTGAGCAATCTGTCCACTGCCTCCCAGCAACGGTGGGTGCCTGTGTCTCTCAGGACATTCTCAACAGTTTCTAGAGCCCCAGAAGAAACCTCTGAGCTGGTTTTTAGTGTGATCTTTTCTCCTCCACCAAAATGTCTTCTCATTTGATAAGATTCAAACTGATGTGTCTCATGGTTCCTATTTAAAATTTGTTTCTGCCCCCCCTTAATAATCCCATCCATCCTGGGAATAAAAGCCATAAACAAACATTCTAGATGAGAGGAAATAGAGTCATTTTAAGATGAACGAACTCAGTTGCTGACTTAGCATCCTAGTGACAGGAACTGAACGAACTGATGGCGCTGATGAAATGGTACCACTTCTTGTAGATCAGGGTCCTGACCATTTTAGGGTGGTCCAGTACCAGACTCAATTGCTCTGAAAATAACAGGCTCGTCTTTTTTGCAGTGCTTCGAGTACCCGAATTTCATCCGAGTGGTCATCACAGTCCCCGAGGTGATAATGCTGGAGGCATGTAGCCGGATCCAGGAGTTCTGTGAGCAGCACTACCACTGTGCTGAAGGCAGCCAGGAGGAGTGTGATAAATAGACTTGCATCCATTCTTCTGAGGAAGTGTCCCATTTGGGGAGGGCTGGACTAGGCCTTGCAGCTCCTCAGGGAGTTAGGTGGCCCTAGTGGGAGAGGGGCCTCAAATGCACCATGTCAAGAGTTCAAGATTGCTCCTGCTTTTCCCCAAGTACAACTACAACCACACTCAGATCTTCCTCATCCACAACACATCCCAGATTCTCCCTTGCTCTGCGCTACTGGAGTGACTCACTAATTCATTCATCTGTCTTCCTCTCTTAAGATTTCCTCCTTTTTTCTTGAAAGTACCAGGCAAACAAAGTTTACCAGAAAGCAGGTGAGACAAGAAAATGAGAGCTCAGGATGAGGGAAAAATAAAAGATTGAGAGAACTTGTGCCCTCAACCATTTCCTCAGACTCTAAAAAAGAACACACTCTGTCCAGGCAGGTCTGGAGCTCAATTCTCTTACTGCTTCTAGTTAGGATCCTAACTAGAAAGGGGTTGCAGGCACATATATTTGGTTAATTACATTTTGAATACATTAGGAAAAGTTGCTATTTGAACTTTTGATTTTTGGGGGGAGTAAAGAATTATTTTGTGATGCAAATAAATATCCTTTAATTGATCAATTGATCGACTTCCTAAATTTAGATTTGTGTGCATCAGGCTTTTTTTCTTTTCTTTTTTTTTGGAGACAGAGTCTTGCTCTGTCAACCAGCGTGGAGTGCAGTGGTGTGATCGTGGCTCACTGCAACCTCCACCTCCTGGGTTCAAGTGATTCTCCTGCCTCAGCCTCCCGAGTAGCTCGGATTACAGGTGTGTGCCACCACACCCGGCTAATTTTTGTATTTTTAGTAAAGATGAAGTTTCACCATGTTAGCCAGGCTGGTCTCAAACTCTTGACCTTAGGCAGTCTTCCCCGTCTCCCCCGCCCCTACCTTGCCTCAGCTTCCCAAAGCGCTTGGATTACAGGTGTGAGCCACCACATCTTTCTTAAAGATCAGGCATCAGGCTTTTTTAAAGTGACAGCACATCTGTACTACAGCAAGCAGGAATCAGAGACCTTCAAGAAATACTACTGTGTAAGGGCCAGAAATATCTTCACTTGTCATTGTTATAGAATCATTATTATTTTTGCTATGATGTTAATATTGATTTATTAATATATATTATCTTTTCATATATTTTCTAAGAAACATTTATATTGACAAGATCTTTTATTTTGCCAAGGGCATAAATTATTGTTTTTCTGTTTTTTTTTTTTAATAAATTTTACGAAGTATGGCTCTGCTGTGATGTGTTTTTTTCTCTTCTGTATGCGAATTTCTAATTCTAGGCACTGCTTAGTCCCATTTCCATTACCTATGAGGTTTCATTTACTTCTTTGTAAATGTACTGACTTTTGGAGTTACTTAAGAACCACAATTCCTAAAACATTTTATTTGGGAGCTCAACGTCTGGCTTCCTACTTACAAATCAAGAGGCAACAAGTTATAACCTCCGGCCTTTGTCTTTACATTTTCAACTTTTTGGATCCCTAACCTCTGGTCCCAAGCTCCTACCCCTTGCCTAGATCCACTAACCACTCACTAGGTCACAAAGTTGACTGCTCTGGCTTGACCCAGCTAATGAGAAGTGTCCCATATGTTCTTTCAGCATGAGCTTTTTGTTTGCAAATCTTCATAGGCACAGTTGCCTGTTTAATTTTTCTTCAGCACTTCCCTTAGAGGAGGGACCCTGAAGTTGACTTTTCAAGGTTGGGTGGTTAGGAATCTATCATAACCAGTCTGGAGATTTCTCACCAAGGGAAATTTTCCTTATCTAGAAGAGGAACTTCAGGTCTCAACCCTGTCAGTCACACCCAATTAATGTCCTTCACAAAAATAAACAGCAAATGTCCCCTTTCAATTTGTGTTCAGTGAGCTCACAGCAAAATTTACCTTTTAATTTTCTTCAGCAAATCCAAAATGAATATACAAAGAATGAAATTAAAGATTTCAGTTTCCTGTATGCCACCGCCGCCAATTTTCCAAAAAAGCCTGGCTCCTCTTTTCCTGTTCCTCCATCCAAGCCCCCAAAGATCTCTATCCAGAAATAAACAGGAAGACTCAGCGATTTACAAAAGACATTTTAGCTTCACACGTTCAGATAATTCTATCCAGCACATTATAGAATTCTACTTAGACCTCTTAAATTTCCAAGTTTCCTTGGTATTTACATTTTGATAAGAGAGTCAATGGCCCTTCAAACATTTAAAAAGAACACATGTACACTGGACAATTTCAAAGGATACAAACTAACACAACAGTCCTTTCTCATTCCTGTCCTTCAGCCACTCAGTTTCTTCTCCCCTGAGGGAATCAGTTATCAGTTGCTGGTCATATATCCTTTGCCTATGTAAGCATGTGTGTGTGTGTACTTTTCCTTTTTTTCAAATAAACTACTAGACAACTTTATAATTCTGCACGCAATGAAAGTCAAAGGAGGGATGGCATTGCTGGGGTGTCGCCTACGTCATGGGTGTCTCTAGATAAAAAAGGAATTCTCGGGTGGCAGCTACTTCCCACACAAACTTAAAATTCCCAAAAGTCAATTGCCAGTTGCTTTGGGTGGTGGCGTCAGAATGTCTTCAGATAACACAAAAAATACGTATAACAATCGGAGAAGACCAGGTGCGATGGCTCAGGCCTGTAATCTCAGCACTTTGGAAGGCCAAGCTGGGAGGATCACGAGGTCAGGAGTTCGAGACCACCCTGACCAACATGGTGAAACCGCCCGTCTCTACTAAAAATACAATTTAGCCGTGCGTGGTGGTGCGCGCCTGTAATACCAGCTACTCGGGAGGCTGAGGCAGGAGAATCGCTTGAACCCGGGAGGCGGAGGTTGCAGTGAGCCGAGATCGCGCCATTGCACTTCAGCCCGGGCGACGGAGCGAGACTCCGTCTCCAAAAAAAGAAAAAAAAAACGGAGACGAGGGCTCTCAGCTGCGAATTCAACTTTTCATTCTGTGTCCAAGCACCGCCCACCGGGTAACTAGGGAGTATCAAAACAGGCTGGCAACAAGCGCCCCACAGCAGCCCCAGGCACATCCCTACCCGGCGACCCGCGGCTGCGCAGGCGCAGATGCAAGCTTACGAGTCCTGCGTTGCTCAGTACGCACGCGCTGTCGCTAGGCGACGAGGCGTCGCTCTGGGCGCCCGCGTAGAATCTGAGCTGCAGGAGAGGGTGAGTCTGTTTATTCGGTCCCTGCTTTCTGTTAGGATGTTACATTTTGTTTCCTTTTTCAGCCTGTCTACCCCAGTCACACCCTGCTTCGAATTTCTCTTCCTCTTTGCCCCCTGGTTTGGGCTCTGACTGGTGGAATTCTTCCAGGAAGTTGACAAAACATCCTTGGCGTTTTTAACACCTGTTAACATTTCCCAACTTTAGATCAGAACCCGCAAGTTCCAAGAATTGTGACGCAGAGCAGAAAATCCTTTTAGCTGGTGTTAGTTTCAAATGGTATTGCCCCCTAGACTTTTCTCAAGAATCGTGTTCTTACCGTCCGGAGTATCTGTCGTTAGGATCTCTACTCAGTAAGAAAAATGAATCCACTTCGCCTGCTCTTGTCAAAGGCAAAGCAGGACAGTAAAGTGGCTAGGACAGGTTCTAACCAGTAATATACTAATGGAATAGGGAAGAATCCAGCACGAACTGAACTCAACTTGGATTTGTACAAAGGTTACTCAGACTTTAAAGGAAAAATGAGGGAATAGGGAGAGGGGAGAGGGATGAGGGGGTGCTAGGAAGAGCGAGGGAAGTGAAAAACTACAAAAAGTGGGAGTTGGGGGTTAGTCCACGTGAAACCCATCTGGGTTTGTTAAATGGTGTTGCTGGAAGTTAGGCTGTTACCCTCCCACAGAGGCTCGGAAACAGGGACCATATCTTCTGGTGTTGGCTGGAACGTAAATTCCTTTGGCAGCCTGAGTTTTTTCAGGCAGGCCCTTTAAAGGGGGGCTGGAGTCATCCTAAAGATGCTACTACCTTGAACTGTTAGAGACTGTGTTAGAGTTTTTTTCAAGTCTGTTGAGGCATAGTCCAGAAATGGCTCGGAGCGTGGCTAAAGTTTGGTCAAGGAGAGAATCTTTGTTACTCCACATATTCTGCACATTACTCTGCAAGAAGGATTGTATTTTACATACCTTAAAGTTTGAATTATTGCATATGTTGGAAAAGAACTGAATTCCTAGTACATATTATTTAGATTATTTATTTTAAACAACTTAAGTTTATTTACAAACAAGTTTCATATAATGCTATAGAACGTGCAAATACAGATGCTCTCTGTAGGTCAAATTGTTTCACAGCACCTTCCAAAGAGGCAGTCATTTGCAAACGTTAAGGTTGGAGTATATTATACAGGAAGTGATGCCCAATTCCTCAAGGAAAACAATAAACAGAAGCACTAGCACATGGGTGTCTTAATTTTTGTGTGTTTCAAATGTAGAAAAGAATTATTGGTTGTTAACTCATTTGATAGCCTAAATTCAATGTATTTTTACATTATACTATATTTAAAAAGTAAAATTGCAAGAGTGTCCCTTTGGCAGTGCACATGCTAAAATTGGAACAATGCAGAGAAGATTAGCGTGGTACTAGCAAACCAAATTCAACAGTATGTTACAAGGATTATACAACATGACCAAGTGGGATTTATTACTGAGATGCAACATATAAAAATCAATCAATATAATATGCCACATTAATAGAATGAATAAAAACCACATGATTGTTTTAACTGATGCAGAAAAATTAGTTGACAAGATTTGACACCTTTTCATGATAGAAACACTCAATGAACCAGGAACAGAAGGAACCTACTTCAAGATAATAAAAGCCCATGTTCCAACTTCCTGGAATATCAGAGACCATCTATGAAAATCTCACACCTGTAATCCCAGCACTTTGGGAGGCTGAGATAGGTGGATCACCTGAGGTCAAGAGTTTGAGTCCAGCCTGGCCAACATGGCAAAACCCTGGCTCTACTGAAAATATAAAAATTAGCTGGGCGTGTTAGCACACGCCTGTAGTCCCAGCTACTCTACTCGGGAGGCTGAGGCAGGAGACTCACCTGAACCCAGGAGGTGGAGGTCGCAGTGAGCCGAGATCACACCACTGTATTCCAGCCTGGGTGACAGAGCGAGACTATATCTCAAAAAAAAAAAAAAAAAGGGGGGGGGCAAGAAAAGCTTATATCAAACTTCATACTCAATGATGAAAGACTAAAAGCTTTTTTTCTAAGATCAGGAGAAAAGCATGGATGCCCACTCTCATCACTTTGATTCAACATAGTATTGGAAGTAGTAGCCAGAGCAATTATACAGGAAAAAGAAATAAAAGGCATTCAATTTGGAAAGGAAGGAGTAAAATTATCTTTGTTCTCAGATGACATGATCTTATATGGAGAAAACCCTAAAGATTCCACAAAACTTTGTTAGAACTAATAACCAAATTCAGCAAAGTAGTAGTATATAAAATTGATATGCAAAGTCAGTTACTTTTCTATACACTAACAATGAACAATCCTAAAAGAAAATTAAGAGAACAATTCCACTTACAATAGTATAAAAAAGAATAAAATACGTAGGAGTAAACCTAACCAAGGAGGTAAAAGATTTGTACAATCAAAACTACAAAACACTGCTGAAAGAAACTAAAGAAGACACCAATAAATGGGAAGATATCCCACGCTCATGGATTGCAGTACTTGATGCTGTGAAGATGTTGATGCTACCCAAAGTGATCAGTAGATTTCAACACAATCCATATCAAAATCCCAATGGCTTTTTTTTTAAAAAAATAGAAAACAATCACCCAAAACTTCGTAAAAAATCTCAAGGGACCCAAAAAAAAAAAAAAAAAAAAAAAAAAAAAAAAAATTGAAGAATAAAGATGGAGTCACATTTCCTGATTTCAAAAGATATTACAAAACCACAGTAATCAGAACAGTGTGGCACTGGCATAAAAAAAGATAAATGGGCCAATGAAATAGAACAGCCAAGAAATAAACCCTCGTATATATAGTCAAATGATCTTTGATAAGGGTGCCAAGACCACTGAATGGGAAAAGAAATGCCTTCAACAAATGGTTTTGGGAAAACTAGATATCCACATGCAAAAGAAGCTGGGCCCTTATCTTACACCATATACAAAAATTAACTCAGACTAACGACCTAAATGTAAGACCTCAAACTATAAAACTCCTAGAAGAAAACATGGGAAGAAAGCTTCATGACATTGTGTTTGGCAATGATTTCTTGGATATGACACCAAAAGCATAGGCAACAAAAGCAAATATGGACAAATGGGACTTTAAAATTTTTGTGCATCAAAGAACGTAATTAAAATGAAAAGGCACGTCATTCTCCCTGTAGAATGGAAGAAAATATTTGAAAATTATGTATCTGATGAGGCATTAACATTCAGAATATATAAAGAACTCCTGCAACTCAACAACAAAAAAGTCAAATGACCCAATTTAAAAACCAACTGGAATAGGCATTTCTCCAAAGAAGATACACAGATGGCCAACAAGCATATGAAAATATGCATGACATCACTAACCATTAGAGAAATTCAAAGCAAAACCACATTGAGATATCACCTCAGGGTAATAGTATGCCCATTATTTTTTTAAAAACACCAAAACCCAGAAAATAGCAACTGTCGCTGAGTATGTGGAGAAACTGGATCCTTTTGCATTGGTGATGGGATTGCAAAATGGTGCAACCACTATAGAAAATAGTATGGCAGTCCGTTGAAAACTGCCAAACTACCATATGATTCAGCTATACCACTTCTTGGTATATATCCAAGAGAATTGAAAGCAGACTCTCAAAGAGGTATTTGTACTGTCAGGTTCATAGCAGCACAATAACAATAGCCAAGAAGTAGAAGCAACCAAAGTGTCTACTGAGGGGTGAATGGATAAACAAAATGTGGTATGTACATACAATAACATATTATATAGACTTAAGGAAGAAAATCGTGTCACCTCCTGTCACTTTTTTTGTGGGGGACATATTTTTTATGTGTTGTTTTCAAACAGCCATGAGAACCAGTGATGATTATCCCATATCACAGACATGATTTACCACCACTTCCCCACCCCCGCTCCCACGAAGAAAGTAGGGCAAGTGCTGTGCTGCCCTTTTGGGCCTGAGTGGTAACATGATTGGAACCTAGGAACTCTGGTCTCCTTGGCTACTGTTTTTCAAAACTCTGTGCCACACAGGAGTGGATCCAGGCCTGAAGGTCATAAAATTCTGGGGACTCTCTTTAAGAAAAAGAATTCTAAAATATCTTTTCTTGCAAATATTATAAAAATATACTGCCACATTAATGTTGCTAGGGTCCCTGCTAGCACCTTAAGAAGAAGGAACTCATTTGAGTCAGGATCCTCAATGTTGAACCTTGAGGACATAATGTTAAGTGAAAGAAGCCAGTCACAAAAAGACACATACTGTATGATTCCATTTATATGAGTTATCTAAAGTCGTCAAATTCATAGAAACAGAAAATAGAATGACAGAAACTAGGGTCTGTGGAGAGGAGAAAAAGGGAGTTGTTTAATAGGTATGGAGTTTTAGATTTCCAAGATGAAAAAGTTCTAAAGATCTATTTCACAAAATGTGAATATACTTTACTGAACTGTACACTTAATATGGTTTAGATCGTAAACTTTATATGTGTTTTTAAAAGTCACAATAAGAAAAACCCCATGTCAGCTCCATGATGACAATAATTTTTTGTCTGTTTTATTTTCTTCTATATGATCAGTGCTTAGAACAGCAGCTGGGATAGGGTAGCCTCTCAGTACATATTTGATGAATGAATGAATGGGAAAATTCAAAGACTAATCTGTTGCCATTACTTTTTATCTTCTTGTTAAGTGAACTACAGCAAGGGGAAGTTAAGTTTAACTGAAGATGCTATTAGCATAGATGAAAGACACAGAGACAAAGGCATTTAGAAAGATCACTTTCAAAGAGGTGCAAGGAAATAGTAAACACTTGAAAAGTTGTTCAACATCATTAGCCATTAGGGAATTGCAAATTAAAACCATGAGATACTTCTTCACACTTATAGAATGGCTGTAATAGAAAAGTCAGACAATAAGGAGTGTTGGGAATAATGTGGAGAAATTGAAATCTTCATACACCACTGGTGGGAATGTAGAATAGTGC